AGGAGGCGGCGTGGGGCTCCGTCTGCTGCGAGGTTATTAATACTCATGGGCCCTGCTCCTCGGTGCCGTGCACACTGGAAAGGTTCTCTGGGGTGGGCATCCTGGGCCCTGCAGGGTTCTGAGTGGCATCCCTGGCCTCCATTTGCCCCAGCCCAGGAGAAACCAGTGGGGCAACCACTGTCTCTAGGTTAGAGTCACCTAAAAGTGAGCACTGGTCTGTAGCTGAGGCCCAGGACCAGCTAGGGGACAGCAGGACAGAATACACATCGTCTGGTTTCGGTTATTATACCACAGCAGCCAAGCATGGTGATGCACACCTGTCATCCCAGCCTTCAGAAGGCTGAGGCAGGAGAATTGCCATGAGTTCTAGGCCAGCCTGGGCTACATAGTGAGTTCAAGGCCAGCCTGAACTACATACAAGACCTTGTCTCAAAACAAAACAGTATTAGGGAGCCTTCAGCCCTTTGCCACCCACCTCACCCACCCATGGGGAAGACTCCAGATCCACTGGCTGCAAGGAAGACTGGCCACAGTCCTGTAGGCAGTCATTCACCCACACGAATATTAAGCATACGCTGAGCTGAGTGCTGACTGTGTCACCCTGGGGAGTCCATGGGGACCCAGAGGGGACCAAAACCAACACAAATTCCTGCCACAAGGAGCTGATGGATTAGACAGAGAGCATGCAGGATAAGTGAATCACCAGTGGGTCTGCAGGGGAGGAAGCACAGAAACGAGAGGGGAGGGGGTGAGAGGAAGAGTTAAATATGGTGGCCAGGGAAAGTGGCCAGGAAAGAGCTCAGAGTAGGGGAAAGAAGGATAGGCAGGCTCAGAAAGTGGGAGAGGGACAGGGATGATGGGAGGGTGATGGGAGGACAGGGGAGGGTGATGGGGGAGGATGGAGGATGATGGGAGATAATGGAAGATGGTGGAAGGATGATGGGAGATGAGAGAGGATGAGAAAGAATGATGGAGTATGATGGAGGATGCTGGGAGGATGGTGGGAAGGGTGGCAGGTGATGGAAGGACAATGGAGGATGATGGGGGATAATGGGAGGATGGAAGGATGATGGGAAGAGGATAGAGGATGATGGGTGATGATGGAGAATGATGGGAGGAGGATGGGAGGATGATGAGGGATGATGGGGAGAATTGTGAGGAAGATTGGAGGGTTGATTTGTTGCAGTCACTGATGATGCATGCAGCGAGGTGGTTCTGGGTGATTTTTGTTATATCTTTTTATTTTGTTTTTTTGTTTTTCATTTTTTTTGAGACAGGGTCTCTCTATATAGTTCAGGCTGGCCTTGAACTCACTATGTAGCCCAGACTGGCCTCAAATTCCTGGCAATCCTGTCTCAGCCTACCAAGTGCTGGGATTACAGGCATGTGCCACACCCTACCTGTTATATCTCTTTAATTAAAATATTTTTGCATACAGTAAGGCACAGATTGATATATGTATATAGCTCAGTGAGCTTTTTATTTCCAGTAGAATTCACATAAAATAAAATTAACCATTTTAGCCGGGATGTAGCTCAGTGGTGCTGCACCTGCCTGGCAAGCAAAAGGTCCTGAGTTCGATCCCTGGTACCAGAAAAAAAGAAAAATTAACCATTTTAAAATTGTCAATTCATTGTCCTTTATTTTTACATTTTTTTAACGTTTAAAAATATTTTTAAATTTTGTATTTATTTTATTTTTGTATTTTGTGGCACTGGGGCTCTGACTCAGGTCCTCACTGGTGCTTGACAAATGCTTCATCACTGCAGCCCCTGAGCGGCTGGATGGCAGGCATGTGCCAGGCGCCTGGCTTTCGGTGCTCTTCAATGTCTCCACAACCCTGTGCAGCCACTGTCCCTGTTGTGTATTGTGACATTCTTCACCCCAAAGAAATCCCGTCCCCATGACCATCACCCCTCCCCTCCCAGCCCCGGCACCCCCGAGTCCACTTCCTGTCTCTGGGTTCCCCTGTCCTGGGCGTTTCTTTCCATGGAGCCCGAGCTGTGTCCTCTGTGTCTGTCATCTGTCACTGACCACAGCATCCCTGAGGTCCCTACTGGGGCAAGTATCACAGACTCACTCCTGTCCTGGCCGAGCAATGCTCTGGTGTGTGAACAGACCACACTGCTCTGCTGTAGGCTGCTGTGAACAGTGCTGGAGTAAACATCACTACACAAGCATTTACCTGAGTGACAGCTCTCCCTTCTTTTCGGGATTCCCAGAAGCAGGATGGTGGGGTGACAGGCAATTCCGTGGTGCCCTTTTGAGGAATCGCCAGGCTGTTTTCCACGCTGGCAGCTCCGTGTCTCATTCCCACCGCAGCATGTGCCCATCCTGCTCTCCACTGCCTCCCGGACGCCCGCCATCTTCCATTCTCTTGGCTGTAGACGGCCGTGGGTGTGAGGTGTGAGTTTTGATCTGCGTTTCCCTAATGACAAGTGGTATGCAGCTTGTTTTCATGGGCTTGCTGGCCATTTGCACGTCTTGAGAAACATCTACTCGATTCTTTGCTCTTTCATAAATTTGTCATTTTGTTGCTGCGTTGTAATAGTATTTTATATATTGTAGGCACCTGACCCTTCCAGGTGCAGTGAACGTCTATAAATAAACTTGCTGGGGTGAAACCCAACAAAGTCAGCACTTCAGGCCCTCCTGGGACCCTCACACCATCCTGCCAGCCTCTCCTAAGTGGGTGGCCCTGTGTCCTTGTCTGTCTAGCTTTGTCACTAGACCAAGGGTCATCTGTGCTGTCAGGGCCACCGTGCCCTCAGTCTCCCAGCTGGGTTTGGAAGACACAGCTAGGTTTGCAGGGAGAAGCCTGCAAGCGGGTATTCAGGGAGGGCAGTGAGGGTTTAGGCCCTGCCACCTGCCAGCCGGTGGTTCTGCTCGGGTTACTTTGCCACCTTCTGCCTCAGCTTCTCCATCTGCGAATGAGGTCAAGGGACTTGTGGCAAGGACTCAATGGGTCACCACCCACCTGGCAGAAGCTTAACAAGCAGGTTTCATAGGAGACCCAAGAGAGGACCCAGTGACACCCCTATTGTACAGAAGGGTAAACTGAGGCCCAGTGAGCTGGAGAATGCTCATGAGCTGCAGAGCTGGGACCTGCACATGCCGCTCCCTCCCCTCATTCTTCATGCATTCATTTATTCAGTTTTAAGTCAAGGTCTCACTATGTGGCTTAGGCTATCCTCAAACTCGCTGTGATCCTCCTGCCTCAGCTTCTGAAGTGCTAGGACGATAGGCATAAGCCTGGCCTCCTCTTTTTTTTTTCCTTTTTTCTTTTTTTAATTGAAGTCATTTTTCTCCTCACAGCCTAGGAGCTGGTGGCCCCTCCCACCCCCAAAGGGCTGAGAAGACAAAAGCAGCAGTGAGCCCCTCACTTGGGGGCAGGAACCCTTCCAGAGGGAGGGGAGGAAAGCGTTGAGGCGGGGCCAGGCTGAGCCTGGGTCTTGGGAGCCTGTGATTTCCGCCCCGAAGTGATTGCATTAATTATCATTGCTGCCCGTTGTGCCTGCTCCCGGCCAATGGCAACAAGCCTCTGGATTAAGCTCCGCCCTTAGAGCCTTCTGGCTCTGGGCACTCGCAGCCCAAGGCCTCACCGCCACATGGAAACTGAGGTTTGCACCCCTCGCCTTCTGCTCCCCAGCAGTTAGGGTGAGGGTCTCATAGCCCCTGGAGCTGGAGCAGAGCTGCAAGAGGCAGCTGGAACAAGCAAAGGTGGGGCCTTGGGTGGGGCCTAGGAGCCATGGGAGGTCTCGGACCAGGGGCTTAGGTCAGGGCGGGATGGCAGGGCGCCCCCTCTTTGCCCTGGAGCTGTCCCAACACCCCCCTCCCCGATAGTTCAGATTCTGCCCCTCCCATGGAGCCCTGCTTTCTGCTTCCCCTTCCCCTGCTTCTCTTTCCCATGCCAGACTGGGGCTCCGCGGGGGCCATGCTACCTGTCACTTGCTGCCTCAGTGTCCTTCGGCTGTTGATGGAAAGGGAATCAGCTGGCTTGCACAAATAAGGCACTTAATGACCCGCTAACCAGATCCGGTGTGCAGTTTTGGACTGCAGTCACTGCTGGGTCCAGGTGCTCAGCCTGGCTCTGCTGCTCCATGCGCCTTCTTCCTGTGATGACCTGAGGGTCTCCTGAGCTGGGGAGACTCAGGATGCTCAGGATGACAGCAAGGGTGAGGCATGAGACAGTTCTGGCGCCACCCCTGCATCCTGCATCACACAAGGCCACAACCCAGGGACACTGTGGGTACAGGCAGCAGAGGCATCTGCTGGAGTTCCCCAAGAGGAGACAAGAGCCAGACCCAAAGGCCCAGCAACAGACAGGAGGGTATGGAATTCTCACAGGATGGCCTTTGGGGGTCCCAAGGGTGTGAAGTGGCCACAGTCTCCAACACGGGCACACACCTGTCACACAAGCACATGATTCACACAAAGTGCTGTTGTGCATGAGGCACACAGCTGTACATGGCCACAAGAACGCACCTGGAGGGAGCCACAGTGTGACAGAGGCCTGTCTTGGGGTCAGAGGGGAGATGGAGCCCAGTCTGACATCACAGAGGAGTTGGGGCTCAGCCTGGAGTCAGAAGGGGACCTTGTCACACTGCACTTCCTGGAGCTGGGACACCAGGGGCCAGAATGACCCGGACCCTAGGGGCTGGTGTGGTAAAAGGGCAAAGGGCAGAGGCCAAAGGCCCTTCCCCAGAGAAGGTGCCGCCTGCCTGGGTATGGAGCTGAGATGCTGGCCAGGTGCATCTGGGTCAGGCTGCAGGACCTGGGCGGGATGGCTCCTGTCCAGGTATCCACAGCCTCTGTGAGGAGTGTCGATGACTGTTCCGGGCACCTGACCTGCTGGGCCCGGGGGGCCTCCCTGCTGCCTGTCTCCAACCCAGGGTGAGACAGGATTTCTCACCTTCAGACTCCTGCCGCCCTTTAGGAATTCAGGGCAAAACTCCTCTCCAGGGATTACACAGCAAAGCAAGCAGACCTCCACCCCCGCATCCCCGAAACACCTTTATTGCACTAAAAACAGCATTTATAAACAAACACACTGGAGGGAAGTGTCTGAAAGATTCATCCACGATCAACTTCAAACACAAAGATATCAAACAGTGCACAGATATATAAAATGGGGAGCCCCCCTCCCGAGGAGAACAGGAGGTGGGGTCCCCACCAGAGAAGGGAGGTGGCCACGAGCTCCAAGCATCCAGCTCCATGCAGGGCCTGCGGTCTGCACCCCAGGTCCCAAAGGGGAGGGGACAGGCACAGACAGGGGCCCGGGCCCAGCTGTCACAGGATACAGGGCAACTCAGGCGTGCAGCAGAAATTGCAGGCTCTCTCCAGGCCTGGGGAGTCAGCTCCGCATCCCTCTCTGGTGGGTGCAGACATCCTCATCAGGAAGAAGAGAGCCAGCGAAAGGGGGGAACATCACAGGTCCCACAGGGCTGCTCACCCTGCAGGAAACCTGCCCTCCTGTGACTTGCAGAATTTGTGGGAAAAAAAAAAAAGCCCAGAAATCATTCAAGGACTCGCATAACCAATAGCAAAACCCAATCAACTGCCTGGCTCAGTGAAAAGCCAGAACCAGGCCCAGCCCGGCCTGTGGTGATCCCGCCCAGGCTCCATAACCAAACCCTATTTACAGGTAGGGTAAAGGCCATGCCGGGCACTGGCTGGGAGGGCACAGGGGCCCCCGAGGGCTGCACAGGCCCCTCCTGTCAAGGTGGCCCCGATGAGTGCCAGGCCAGCAGTCGGCCAGCTCCTTGTGTCCCCGAACATCGGGCTCCAGCCTGGCAGCCACACTTTCTCCTCCATCAAGAGCCAGGTCTGGAGGCCAGGGATGGCCCCTGAGCCCCTCGCCTCTGAGCCTGGAGGCTGGGGCTGCCCAGAGCCTGAGGAAGGGAGGTGCCATGTGGTGTCACCAGCTCTCGAGGCTTCTGTGCAGAGCAGAGTGGCAGCAGGGTGGTTGGGGAGGGCAACACTGCCACAGAGGAATGGGTTGAGCTCGGCCCCAGGACTTGAGACCTGGCCTGTCTGTCCCTGCCGCCTCAGCCTCCTTGATTCGTGGGCCTCTGAGGACCTCTGTCCCCAACTCTGTGGAAAAGCAGGATGGAGCAGTATCGAGGGCCGAGGCGGATGGTCAGCCCTGCCAAGGCCCCCAAACTCTTCCTCACAGCCTCTCCTCCTCCCCCTCCTCCTCCTCCAAAAAGATCCGTTCATGAAAAGTAAGATTCTGTTCACACCGGCGACACAGGACAGCAGGATCAGCAGCAGGCAGCACAAGGCCGAGCCCCACTGAATTGAAGCCCACCTCCTCACCCAGCCCCAGCCCCCCAGCAACCGATCTGCCCTGGCCCGTGTGCAGCAGATGGGTGCCCCCGTGTGCCCCAGGAGGGAGCCGGCCAGCTCACAGGAAGGGCAGCAGCGAGGTGAGGGGCAGCTCCTTCTCCCCGAGCAGCGTGTCCCGCTTCAGGCTGCTTCCCTTGTTCACCACCTTGATGCGGAGGGAAAGCTTTCGCACACTGGCCGGCCCCAGCCCGTCGAAGAAGAAGTCCTCATTGAAGACTGGGTGGCGGCTGTTCTTGATGATGGTGCTGCGCTGCTTTTGAAGCTTGCCCGGCACTAGACACAGGCCCACGCAGCAGTTGATGCTGCGGGCCTCCCAGGGCCGCTCGTACAGACCCTCAGCCACCAGCAGCCGCACGCGCAGCCGGGCCTGGGCCGCCTCATATTCGGCCAACAGCCGCACACTGCCCCGGGGCCCCACGCGCACTATGTGCTCCCCGCGGGGCGCGGAGCCAGACTCTGGGCCCGGTTCTGGAGTGGCCCGGCGGGTCAGGCGACGGCGGACGCCGGGGCTGGTGTCCGGCGTGCTGTCGTCAGCCGACAGGGAGCCATGGCGCCCCACCGAGTGCTTGAGCTGGCTCACCTTGGCCTGGCCATCCTGCGCAAAACCTTTGAGCAGGGACACCGAGCGTGACAGCAGAGGGGACCCGAACGGGGAAGACTCGGCCGAGGAGCCTGTGTCGCTCTCCCCACCGCTGAAGTAGCGCCCGGGGCTCATCAGGCCGCCTCCAGCCTCCCTGGGGCCCCCATCCCCCCCATTGGCCTTGGCACCTGCCCGCCGGCGCCCGGCACCTGGGGAGCCCACCTGGGCCAGGGCCCCGTGCTCACTGTGGAACAGGGACTCCTTGCGCCGCGTGTGGGGGCTCTCGGCCAGCGTGGTGAAGCCGTAGGACGTCTGGGCCTTGGGCACCGAGGGCAGGGACACGGAGCCCGGGGCCTCCTCCGCCGGCCAGTCCTCGGCACTCTCGATCTGGATGACGTGTCGTGTGGCTGCCTTCAGCAGGCTTTTGCTCTCCGCTGCCAGCTTGGCGGGCAGCCGGGGGCTGCGGGGGCTGCGGCGCGGGGAGGCAGCCAGGTTCTGCTCAGACGGGGACGGCCCCAGCTCCGCCGGCCCCTCGGCCTCCGCGGGGCCCGAGGGCAGCTTAGGGGGGATGAAGAAGTCCGGGATCTTGTCGGGGGTCAGCACGTTGCTGTACAGCGGCCCCCTGGCGGCCCTGTCCCCTGCCTCGGCCCCCGCAGCCCGACCGCCGTTCTCCCCAGACCCGCGGAGCCGATCCAAGAACCACATGTTGGTTTTCCTCATGAGGGCGGCGGGCGAGAGGCCAGGAGGGGGACACAGCGTCTAGGGCGAGAAGCCGAGAGGGGGTCAGGGTGGGCGGGCATCTGTCCCCGGGGTCCCCACGTCCAGGCCTGGTCGGCGGGCACGGGGGAGGCTCACTCTGGAGGTGTCCTGGGGGCTGCGACCCAGAACAGGGGTGGGGCGCTTGCCCGACCCGGAGGGACTGGACTAACTTCTCAGCAGGGGCAGAGACGGGCAGAGATGGGTGCGGAGACGGAGCCAGAGATGGAGGCAGAGAAGGGGAAAGAGCCCGGCTGGAGGGCGAGCAAGTGAGGGCCCTAGGGGGCGCGCCCCTCTCCCGCCTCCCGGATGGGGGAGCCCCGCTTCCTACGGGGCTACGCGCCCGGCGCCCAGGGGCGCGGGTGTCCCGGCCCCGCCCCCGGCGCCCGCCCACCTGTGGCTTCTCCGAGGCACAGGTGGGGGAGGACGCGGCCAGGGCCTCGGCGGGCACAGCGCGGGGTCCTGGTGCTCTCGAACCGACCCGTCAGCCCACAGCGGGGTCCCGGCCCGGCTCACCTGCCTCGGCTCCACACGCTGGGCTCGCGCAGGCCTGGCGGCTCCAAGCGCCTCCGAGCGGCCAGCGCAGCAGCCAGGCCCCGCCCACCGCGCCGACTGGGGCGGGGCCGGAGCCCTGCGTCCAAGCGGGACTCGGGTGGGGCCGCTGGGGCCCGGGACTCCGGGCATCTGTCTCCTCTGGGACCCCAGCCCTGCTGTTCCCTGACAGCATCCTGATTACCCTCCCTCCTCTCATCTCAGGCCGCCCAGCAGGTCCAGCACTGTCCCCGTCTGTAGATTAGGGCGAGCTGTTTCTCTAGAGGTAAGGACGACCCCGAAGCCTGGTCCCAGACCCCTGACGCCCTCCAAGAGGGCTGCGGTCCGACATGTAGGTGTGCATCGGAGGGAAGGAGAAAGAGACCTCGCCACACCTCTCACAGGTGCAGAACCAAGGGAGCCAGGCCACAGACAGGCCTTGCCAGCTGCCCAGGTGACCTGCCAGGCCAGCCTCACCTTCCTAGCCTCAGTTTCTCTCCTGGAACCGAGAAAGCCGCTTGCCCATCCAGTGTGGTACATGAGGAGCCAGCAAGGCAACTCAGGCGCCTGGCCATTTATTTAAGGCTTTAGTGAGAGCCTCTGATGTCCCAGGAATGTCCCAAAATCATGTGGAGGCCCAAGCAAGGACAAGGCCTGGGTGGAGAGTGCTGGAATGTCAGCCTGGGATGGGTCAGAAAGGCAGATGGGGCTGAGAGGGCTGTGGTCCAGATGGGGAAATCAAGGCAAGCTGGAGCCACGATGCCCCAGAGAGGCCTTTGTGCTGATGGTCTGTCTGGCTGACGCACACTTGGAGGCACATCACTTCCCCACTGCCTCAGCCAGGAGCAGTCGCTGGCTGGTGTCCCTGACCCTTTAGGGTCCAGAGTCCCTGTAATGTCCTCAAACCAGGCCATGTGTACACAGACACCCTACAGCAGACCTCTGCCCTGCAGGAGGTGCCCTGGGATGGGAGGGGCAGGGCTGGGCCTTGTGATGCCAGTCCCAGGTACCTGGGGGCCCACACCCCACAGCTCCTGGCAGCTGGGGAGGGGCACAGAGCTCAATGTATGTTGAGCAACTCTAGATGCTAACCTGGAGCTGCTCAGCCAGGGCTGGAGTCCCACGCCCACACTTCCTCCTGTGTGACTTCAGACAAGTGTCCAAACTTTTCTGAGCCTACATCCCAGTGTAAGAGCAACAAATCCATGGGTCACAATTTCCCAGGAGTCTACAGAATCCCAGCCATGCCCGCTGTGGGAAGTGTGGCAGACAACACTGCTTTGGGTAAGCAAAAGGTGGCACTTGGAGACCCCAGAGCCCTGAACCCACCAGCCCAGCTCACCCTGCACCGCCACCCCTGTCCCCACACCCTATTACCTGTGGGGATTCCAGGCCCAACACCTGCCCTGCTGGCCATGTGGCCTCACCCTGGGGCCCTGCCTCTCCAGCTAGTTGCTCTGCATGGCAGTCAGCAAACAGGAGGTGTCTCCCCACCCCCACCCCCACCCCAGTCAACAGATCCTTCTGCTTCCTGCTGTGCAGCAGTCACCTCCAGGGCACCCCATGCGGCGTTCCAGGAATCAGACATCAGGCAGCACAATGGTGGCGGCTGGCATATCCATGTCCCAGAGTCTTGCCACCAAGTGCAGGGCCATTACGTTGGCCCTCCCCCAGGGTGGCCCCAGTGGCTCTAGCAGAGGGTCCAGGAGGCACAGCCAGCTCAGAGCAAAGGGCCTATGTGCCATCCTGGGTCCCTCAGAACCTGGAGGAAGTTGGCCACAAGGACTGGGAGGACCCTGCTGGGCTTCTGCATCATGGGCCTTCACTTGGGCCTGCATTCAGTCACTGACGGCCACTGTCCTCTGCAGCCTCCCACAGCACAGGGGCTCAGGGCTCCCTGAGGCACTCTTAGTGCATGGACTAGCAGGCAGGGACTTCAAAGGGAGCAGAGCAGGGGCTGTGGAGCCTGGGCCTCAGAGGGCGCAGGACCACGTGTGAATGAATGAATGAATGTAGAATGCATTAGACCCCTGTCTTCCTACACGCATCCACAACCTGGTACCTTCCCTACACTCCCTTCCAGCCCCATCCTGTCCCCCCCACCCTGTCCCATCAACACTGTACTTCCCACCTGAGGATCTCTTCCCTTTGGGAGTGAGCCCTCATCACCCTATGCTTAAAGACCAGGCAGCTCCCCTGGCACCAAGACTTACCTCCAACAGTGGGCACCCCTGTGCCCATACCAGTCCCCCTTCCATTCCCTGAATGTGCCGGGCTCCACACACCACGGGGCCTTTGCACATGCCATTCCCTCTGTGCAGGGCTCTGCCCTCTTCCCTGGGGCTCTCCCACTCACCCTCCCATCACAGCCCCTGTGTCATTCCACAAAGAAACCCTCCAGATGTCCTAGAATCTGAGTTCCAGGGACCTTTCCTTTGCACAGCTATCATTATACACCTAGAGGTGATCTGCTGATCAATGTCACCTGATTGTTAATTCCATGGAGGCGGGTCTGTCTCAGGCACCACTGCATCCCTCTTGCCCACCAGAGGTCCTGGCAGTAAGAGAGCTCGGTGCAGGCATGTTACAGGATGGCGAGTGGGGGCGGGAGTCGATGGATGCATGGGTGTATGAAATAGTGAATGGAATGAGGAGACCAGCAGTTGGGTGGATGGATGATGCATGGATAGTTAAGACGGCTGGATGAGTGGACAGATGGATGCCTGGGTGAGTTAACAATGGGTGGGTTGGTGGCTCTCAGTCTCCACATCTCTGAAATAAGACATGGCATCAGTCTCCTCCGGCTCTGGCTTGCAGGCTTCACTAGTCCATGGCAGAGAGTAGGGGCTTTTCCTCCCCACCTTCTAAGCTGAGGCCACCCCCAGGACGTGAGGCAGGGCCTGCTGCCTAGAGAGAAAGCACAGTGCCTCCCCAAGGTCTAGACCTGGCCCACCTCTGCCCTCCACAGATGTGGCCTAGCAGGGATATGGCAAGGGTCAGGACCCCGGTGGGGAGAAGAGGAGTCTCCCCTGGGAGACAGAGGCTCAGAAGTAACATGAGGGAAGAGCTAAAGCACAGATGTTGGAGTGTTTAAGAAGGAAGCTAAGCACTGGGGAGAAGTGGGGGCCTCGAGAGTCAGGGTGTCCGAGAGAAGACAGGAGAGGCAGATGGCTGAGATGGCAGGTCATACTATATAGTTCACTATGTAGTTCAATGGTCTCAAAGTTGTGATCCTCCTGCCTCAGCCTCCCGAATGCTGGGCTGACAGGCATGCACCATCACATCCAGCTACAGTTGGAGCATCTTGAGATGCCAGCCAGGGGCTTTGCTAGCAACACTGGGATCTGAGAGAGGCCACAGCATTTGGGAAGTAAACTAGGGTGTCTCAAGAAGTGGGGGTGCCTTTAGTAGGAACTGAAATGAACTTTATCTTGAAATAAAATAAAGGAGTCAGAGAGCTGGGGGTTTCTAGGGGAAGGGCTTCTCCCACCCCCAGCCCCCAGCCCCTCCTTGGAACTACTAGGGGCCTCCACCAGCCCCTGACCCAACAGGGCCCCACACATGCAGTGGGCTGTGCTCAGGCCGTAGTCACGCCCAGGTTTAGGATCCAATGTCCAGTACAGTCTGCAGCTGGAGGGCAGCTGGGGGGCCTAACTATCGCCTGGTCCTCTGATCTGGAGCAGCCAGGGGAGGCCCCGGGACTGCCTCCCCCTGTAACATCAGCATGTGCCCTGGCCTGAGACCCCCAAAGCACCTTAGTTCTCCCCCCACTGAGACAGTGAACACCTGATTTCTTGGGTAGCCTACCCAGGGCAGGACCCACATGCGCACACTGGGGCGGGGACCCTCCGTTCCATAACTCGAGTCCAGCCGGGGAGGAGGACATGGGGTCTCTTCCTATTATGGGGACCATAGGGTGCGGCCAGACAGGGCTGCACTCCTGGGTGTCTGCTTTGAAGGCGAGGAAGGCTCTGTCTTTGGTATGAGCGCCCAGCTCGGTGCAGGGCAGCAGGCACAGGCAGGAAGGGATGCCCGAGGCTCCTTCAGAGGAGGAGAGACAGCAGCGGTTCTGTGGTTCCGGCTGGACAGGCCGGGAGAGGAAGGCTGAGCGCCCATAAGGCCACGACAGGAGTGTCGGGGCAGGGGCCGCTGAGAACCGTCACCTGTGGGTAGAAAGGGAAGGTGAGGCTGGGGACCCTGTGAGAGTGCACGCACCCCCACCTTAAGCCAGTGAGAAGGGCCGTGATCGCTATGCATTGGCCTTTATGACTGTCTATGCTCGCTCGGGGTGGCCAGCAGCTGGGGCTGCAGCCCAGGCTCCCGGAGTTCGCGCTGTGTCCCAGGCATTGCCTTAACCTCTGTGCGCTGCCACTAATCCCAGGGCCTATCTCGGAAGTGAATGTGTGACGCAGGCCTGTGACTGCCATGCTCACAGACCTCCTAAAGAGACGCCAGTGCCTGCAGATGTCTCAGACAGCCTGTGGGACCTCCCCCTCCAGGCAATGGCCCTGCCTGCAGCTCCGGCCAGTGGGGGATAGGGGGAAGGGCAGGAAGTACACATTGCCATGGAAACGGGAGCGCAGCATGACCTCGCCAGCCTCTACAGGGAAATTCCACAGCCCCTGGTGGGCTCCACACTGGTCCAGCCCCAGCTCCCTTCATCTGCAGTCCCTGCCCCTAGGACCTCCTCAGTCCAGTCCGCCACTCTGGCCCGGCCCCAGCTTCCTCTGTCCCCCGCAGCAAGATAAACCACATCTCAGTCCTCAGACGGGGCCTGCATCTGTACCTGGGCATCGGCTCAGTGCTCCCGCGCAACCACGCCACGCAGGTGCAGCTCGCTCTCAGCAGCCACGATGGGCTGCCCGTTCTGCAGGTGGTAATCGATGAGGTGGCTGATGCTCTCGAACAGCACATCCTTCGTTCGCACCTGTGGGCAGAGAGGGAGCATTAGCCCTGAGCCCATCTCGGGGGACAGCTCTCACCGCCAGAACCTGTGGCCCTGCTCCAATAGTCCAAGACTTGGAGGCAAGGCCAGGTCAGAGCCTCGGGGTGAGGGTTCCAGGGTTCAAACACAGAACCAGCCCTGAATTCCAGAACTGTGGATAGACTTGGGCTTTGAAGCCACCGGGGTCTTTGGGCTGAGCCTCCTGTGATGGCCTCCACAAAGCTTGTCCAAGTCCCAACTCCACTACCTCTGTATATAACCTTATTGGTGAACTAGCCAGGTGAAGCCGAGTGTCCTAGAACACGGCCTGCAATCCTAGCACCTGGACGGCTGAGGCAGGAGGATCTCCCCCAGTTCAAGGCCAACCTGAACTACACAGTGCAACCCTGTCTCAAAAACCACCCACCCACTGGTGCCCCCTTACCACACCCTCGGGGTCCACCAGCAGCAGGTGCTTGGGCTGTCCGGCGTGCATGCCTGTGAGGACGTACTGCCCGGGGTTGGTGACGCTATCTCGTACCAGGAAGTCCCCATCAGCTCGCAGCAGCCTCTCGGCGGCCCTGCGGCTCATGCGGCCATGGTACCAGGGTTCCTGCCGCAGCTGCTCTTCAGTGGGGGCGACGGGAGCCCGACGGGTGGGAGGACTGGGCCACTGGTCCTCTGCTATGCCTGCAGCACACTCATGCAGCCTCAGGGCGTCCTCGAAGGGTCCTGTGGAAAGAACGGGTGCTGGGGGTGGGCAGGCAGGACCACTGGGCACACATCCTGGCACATCCCGGCCACGCTTACAGCACAATTACTGAGCTTCCTGACGCGAGTGTGTGTTGGTCCCATGAAACCAACTCGGTCGGGGGTTGGGGCTTTCTAAGGGCACACAGGGATGACAGCCTCTAGTCTTCTTCTTTGTTTGTGCACATTCCTTTGTGTGCTGGCCTCCTGTCCGTCTGTCACTCCCTCTTACCCAGTAGCAGGACCCCAGCATGCCACAGCCACCAGTGACGGCAGATATGACTTTCCCCTTGCTGCCTTCAGTGCAAATGCACTACCTGCTCACGCCTAACCTTGGTCCACTTGTGGTCTGGGGTCTCACACCTGTCAGGCTAAGAACCCACCTCTACGAGCCTGGCCAATCAGCACACGCATGCTGTCCTTCAGGCCAGGGATTGGCTGTCAGATGAGCACATCAACTGGGTGGACCAATCAGAGGTGGCCCAGGGGACCACCCACCTTAGAGAGCCCATATCCAACACCTGAATCCTATGCCTGGTACACAGCAGGCGCTCAATAGCTACCAGCCCACGTCCTTATTGTGAGAATGAGAAGAAACAGATGGCAGAGGGAAGAGAGCTTTGCAAACATCTGAATGAAGAAATTTCTGGCCATCTGGGGCCCTGGGGAGCCAGCACACAGCAGTCCTGGGGGAAGAGAGTGAAACTGACTGCAAAGTTGGGGGAGGTTGCTGGGGACCCTCCTCTCTCAGGCCGGGCCACCTTCAGGCAGGGAGGGAACAGCTCCACCTTGGACTTGTCCCTGCCTGCTGGGGTGTGGCCCCACCCTTCCTCATGGGATGAGGGAGCAGCCCCAGGGGCTCACCGCAGACTGAGGGCCCCATGGACAGAAGAACAAGCTCCTCCCCGAAAACTGTGAGGCCCATGGGCAGGTCTGGCCTCCCCCAACACACCCTCAAGGGAAGCAGAGTAGACTTGAAAGGCCCGGGGAGGAGGACTGTAGCCATCCTGCCCAGACCTCACGTACGCATGTCGAACAGGTCCTTCTTGGGGCTCTCCTCAGGCTGCGGAGGCACCAGGTCTTCAGGCTCCGGGGCATCCAGACCCTGCGTGTTGACGTACAGGTGCTCCTCATAGTCCCGAGGCCCCCGAGCATCCGCCTGCACATAGCCATCCCCCGGCGGGGCTGCAGAGGAGAGGAGCCAGCAGGGTCACTGAGGAGCCTGGGGAGGGGCTGGCAGGGAGTGAGTGCCCAGGACAGTGTCCCTGGACAGTGCTCAGGCCAGACTGGACACGGGCAGGGTCCACCCCGCCCTCTGCCCACATCACAGTAGGTTCACCACGGACACAGCAGGCCTTGAGCAGGGGCAGCAGTCGCCCACCCAAGTGTCAGTTTCCAAGACAGCTTCCAATATTTATGCTAAATCCCCGTATTTGAAAAATAACAGCAATAACTGCATTCTCCCTGTAATTATGTTATCAGTGTGATGCATAGTTAGGTCATTTCTTCTGTCTCTGCTCTATTTTCAGATTTGCTTTCTTTTCTTCTTTTTAATTTTAGTTTTGAATGTGTAAAGCATTCATATGGTTCAAAGGCCATGAGTGTAGCACGAGGAGCTCAGAGGGTCTTCCTGGGGCCCTCAGGTCCTGTGGGTCCTGACCACTCTGCTCTGCCTCTCAGGGACTCAGTGTCCCCTGCCAGCCTCACGCCTGCTGGGCCACAGTCACTTCTGAAGGGTGCAAGACAGCTCTGGGGAACTGATTCACGCCTCTTTACCCCAGGCTGAGCAACTTTAGGCCCCTGGGCCTCCCATTGCCTTTGTTGTTGACATTTGGCCCTGGGCAGAAGTCACCATCTGGCCAAAGCCAGCCCAGGGCCTGAGGTCACAAAGTTGTCCCTAACCCTTGAGCAGGTCTGGGCTCCCATCCCAGCTCTCCCCGCTGGAGGAGTGGGGAGCTAATTACCTTCTTGCCTCGGTTTCCTCCTCGGGCACAGGGGAAAGGTGAGACCTTCCTCGCAAGAGTGGTGAGAACTGAATGCTGGTGGGGTGTCAAGGCACACACTGTAATCCCAGCACTGGGGAGGCTGAGGCAGGAAGATCACCATGAGTTTGAGACCAGCCCTGGCTACATAGTGAGTTCAAGGATGCCCCAGACTACATAGTGAGACCCTGACTTGAAACAAACAAACGAAAAAACAGCATCCAGCAAGAGTTGTGATTCTGCATGAACACTAACTAATTCTACCCAAGCCCCTATGGTTATTGAGGGGCAGGGAGCTTCAGCCCAGGTGTCCTATCTGCCTAGTGCACAAGCTCTCCTGGGCTAATAGCAGGACTACAGGGGAGCGGAAACTGGCTTCAGGATCCTGGAGTGGGAGAGAAGACCTTGCGTGGGGCACATGGGTGGAAGAATCCCTGGAAACTGGAGGTGGGGCACTGACATATTGATAGGAGTTCTTGGCCAGAGACTTAGGAATGGCCTGACAGGAAGCAAGCACAGCGCGTGCAATGGCACTGGGACAGGAGTCACTGGTGAGCTCACAGGGAGGGAAGAGCAGCCATCATCCCAGATAGGAAGCAGACCAGGCACAAAGCACAGCTTGGCACCAGTGGGTGCCTGGTGATGGAGATTTCTTTAACCATGGGCACCGATGCTTGGCAGTGAAATGCCCAGATTATTTGTGAGGATCTAAATAAGGCTCAACACAGATGCTGGCAAGACTGCGAGGAAACAGGCGGCACAGACAGACAGCCTGGTGGGTAAGACACCAGAACAGCTGCTTGGGGAGCCGAGTGACAGCCTTGGGGGACAGGGCCAGGCTGGTCTGTGGTTCTGCACCATGAGGGGGCGCCAGGGCATCCAGCCCAGGACAGCGCTCACGGCTGATAGCAGCAGGGGACATAGGGACGGGCCAGCCTGGAAGTGACCGCAGCCCACACTGGCTGCCTCTGGGGTCCAGCTCACAACTGCCTAAGGGAGAACAAAAGCGCCCACGGGTGGGCAGCAAGCCGGGCATCGCTTCTCTGTCACGCGCCTCCTGAGTCACTCAGTACATGAGTGCTCGGGGGCCGGAAGCTCAGCCCTTCTGCTGAAACAAAAGCCCACAGCAAGCAGTGCATGCCTGTCATCCCAATCTTCTGCAAGGCTGAGGCAGGAGGGTCACAAGTTCCAGCCCAGCCTGGACAACTTATCAAGACCCTGTCTCAAAATAAAAAGGGCTGGGGATGGAGCTCAGTGTGAAAGCTCGCTGGCCTTGAACTCTCTATGTAGCCCAGGCTGACCTCAGACTCACAGGGATCTTTTCCTGACTCAGCCTCCTGAGCACTAGGATTACAGGTGTTCACCGCCACGCCAAGTTTATACTCCTGGTGTTCTGAACCTTGTGATTCAGAATCTACCTCCAAAGGCAGTGACGCTCATCTGTCTGGGGAAGAACTGACGATTCATACCCCAGCCAGCTTGGAGGCAAGCTGACACCACACAGAGGGGAAACGGGCTAGGGAACGGGCTGAGGGTTGCGTTCTACCTGAGCCAGAAGAGCTCTGGTCCCACTGCAGGCTGCGGGCGTCTCTTCGAAAGGGAGATGCTCCCTGAAAAAGAGAGGCAAGGGCACGTGGGTGTGTACCATCCTATGCCGGCCAGCACCCCAGTGCCCACCCCAACCCTGCTGGCTGCACACTTGACACCACTGGAGGTGAACCTTTGCAGGCGCCTGCCTCTCTAGCCACCAGCAGCAGCCATCAGCCCCCTAGTGCTTCCTGCGGCCTTCTCTGTCCGAGGAAGGTGGTCACCTGCCTCCACCTTCCAAATGCTGTTTGTCCCCTCTGCCTCATGCCCTTCCCAGCTGGGGTCTCCAGGAGAACTCCTCGTCACCCACTGCAGCCCAGCCTCGAAGGCCCCTGACCACCTCCAAAGCAGCCCTGTGTGAACTCCCCATAGTTCCTCTCCCTGAGGTGGCTGGGAGAGGGGATCTGGCACACAATGGCACCCTGGGAACAAAAGAGCCATGGCAGGTAAGCAGATGGGGGTGGAGGCCCAGCCTCCAGGGCTAAGGCACTCAGGAGCGGGGACCCCCTGCCCCGGCGTGGCCCACACAGACAACAGGCTGACCTGGCCAAGGGCTGCAAGGCCGCAGGGCTGCGTGATGGCCAGCCTGGAGTCCACCAGCCCGCCAGGCGGCGGCTCCTTCCCCGGGATGCTGTTGTAGTAGTTGTGTCCTTCGACCTCCTCCTCGTCCCCCCAGGCCGACTCCTCCAGCCCAGTCAGCCTGGGGCAGGATGGGGGGCAGCGTGAGTTTGGAGACAGGACAGTGACAACCGCAGCCCCTATGCCCCTCGCCACCCCTTCATCTCCACCCCAACCCCAATGGGACAGGGTGGGGTCCACCGGGGTGACGCTCTCTGGCCGAGGGAGCCGTGGGGGTGAGGGGCCACCCAACCAGGAGGCCTCCCGCTCAGTCACCTTTCGGGAGGCACGACTGCCTTGGGGGGGCTGTGCAGGTACTGCTTGAAGCGCAACTCGAAGGCTTGGCCCACGGTGCTGATGACACTCTGCGCCAGGCCCTCGCAGCACTCCAGGATGTGACAGGCTGGGGCAGGGTCACGGGAGGTCACTGCCACCGACCCCAGCCCGGCCCCAGCTGCAGCCCCGCCTCCCCCAGCCTCACCTCTCTGGTTGATGGGGTCCTTGGCGACATAGGCCACGTAATCCGTCATGTCCTGAGGACAGGCGTGCAGGCAGAGATCAGCTGGCCCAACAGGCCCCCAGCCTCACAGAGAGACGGAGCCGTGGGTCTGGGGAAGGGCAGGAGGCCCCAAGGCCGAAGGGCCATCCCACGCGCCCCACCTTACCGTGTCACCGCCCGACGCAAAGGAGATGGACTGCATGTGATGGCTGGCGATGACCTGCAGGTCAGGAGATGCACATGGTCCAGAGTGGAAGCCATGGCCGGATCGGGGCCACGGAGGCGCAGGCCATGGGAACAGAGGTGTCCCCTTAATGGGGCCCCCACAGCTGGCCTTGGCCAGCCAAGACAACTGAGATTCCCCCAGGATAGACCCCTGGGCTCAGGAGGTCACAGGCCCACAGAGGGGACAGAGCTGCCCCCATGGGAGGACACTCTCGAGTATATGTCCACTAGATGCTCACAGATATGGAGATACAGGCACACAGACACACAGGCAGACACAGTGACCTGGTGACACAACCCAATACACACACACACAGAGCAACCCGTGACTACCAGCAGCAGCAGCAGCCCTAGGCTCATGTGCGTGTTGATTTGCATGTATTTGCATGGTCCCACCTCCTCTGCCACCTGTCACTCAAATCCCCTCATGACAAGGCCAGGAGGGCAGTGTCCTCCCCAGAGGACATCCCCTCTTCAGCCCTGTGGGGACCCTGTGCAATGTTGGGTCCCAGTAACGTTGCTCCTGGGGAGCCTCAGGGTCCTGCTGCAGGATGATGGTCAGGACAATGCAGGGACACTGTGGAGTCCCCAGAGCACTGCCTGGCTCCAGCCCACCCTTCCCCTCATCCCAGCCAGGGACCTCGTGGGATCAGAAGCTGCAGAGAGGTTCCATTCCCCACAGGTGGCTTCTGTAGCAATTTCCTTATTGCCCCCAATAGCTGAGTCCTACATCATCGCCCTGAGGCCATGACTCCCACTGAGAAGCCAGAGCCTTCCTGACAGCACAGCCAAGAGTCCACCTGGAGACATGTAGCATGGCTCCATGGGTCCTGAGTCTCACCTCCCCAAACACAGATGCCCAGGAGGGTGGGAGGCCAGCCTGGGAGCTGACTGTGCATTCCTTGTCCTCCTGCAGCAGCGGGGCTCCTTTGTTATGCACTGTGTGCCTTGCTGGCTGCTACAACTCCACCCCAGACTTCTCCTTTGCATCCCAGATCGGAATCCACCACCAATTTGGCCAAAGTGGGAAACTGAGTGTTCACAGCACTGAGACCCAAGCCAGTCCCAGACCACCCTAAAGTCTCTCAGCAGGGCCTGGCCATTTTGTCTCAAAGGTTTATCCCAACTTGGTCCTTTTCCCTGTGGGATCCAGCTGCAGCCATGACTCCTGGCCTGGGCTGGACTGGGCTGGCGATCCATCCCAGTGGCTGGACTGTCCCTGGCCTCAGTCTGGGGACACCCCAATGCCCTCCCCACAGTCCCTGCTGGCCTCTGCAAGATAGCCCCCTCCTCACTGCCACACACACACACACACACACACACACACACACACACACACCCCGCTGTGATCTACAACGCTTCTCAAAGCTGGTCACTATTCTTTCGTCTCTGTTATCAGAAGCCTCGCACTGTGGACACTGGGTCGGGTGGTCCTGGGTTGGGGGACAGGTGCTGAGCCACCTCTTCCATGTCCACACCAGGAGCCCCCTCCCCGAGGGCTGGCGCCTCCCAGCTCCTGCAGCCCTGAGTGCCACCTGGCCAGCAGTGCTGCCCCCTTGCAGCAGGGCCCCTGGACACCCTTCTGGACATGTCTGTGGACACACCCACACCGAGCCCGTCCTTCCACCTCCTCCTCATTCCATCTAGGTGACAATCAGATTCCAGGGTAGTCTCAGGGTTCTGGGGATTCCAGGAGCGGCTGAGGGACACGTGGGATCGAGGGGCGAGGAGGCACTTACCTGACGCGTGGCGGGCACCAAGAGGTTGAGGCCATCGATAGAAATATTCACGGAAATGCTCATGCCCGCGAAGCGCAGGTTGCTTTTGCCCAGGATAGAGGCCAGCGCCTTGTTGGGCGCCTGGGGAAGGGAGCAGAGACAAAGCTCAGTGTGGAAGGGGCGGAGCTCAGTGTGGAGGGGTGGAGCTCAGTGTATGGGCCGGACTTTGCGGAGGGGCGGGGGCTCGGAGTGGGGCGGGGTCAGCGTGAGGGGCGGGGCTCAGCACGGGGTGGAGCTCAGAGTGGTCCCTGGAGAATCTGGCCTCGGCTTTTGGGAACTATGCGGGCAGGCAGTGTCACAGGGGCACCCAGGATGGCCACCATGTCCCCACAGCCTCAGATTCGCCTGCCAGCCAGAAGGGCTTGCAATCCTCACCCACCTTCTTCTTCCAGGAGCCCCTGACGCCTGGCACGGCCTCGTGGAGCCGATTGATGGCCTCCCTGTGGTTGGAGGGAGAGAGTCTCAGAGGGAGGGGACCGGAAAGGGGAGGGGCAGGGGCAGAGCCCTGAGAAGGATGGGGCCCAGCAGGGAAAGGAGGGCCCAGAGCGTAAGACCTGTCCTCTGCCCCAACCCTGTTCTCTTTTCTGTGTCCACTGCGTCCCTGGGAGGGTTCAGACCCGGGGCGGACACGGCAAGCAGATGTCCCTTGCCTGAGCCACCCCTAGGCGGCAAGAACCGACCCCCAACAGCGCAGGAGACAGCCACGACTCCCAGGGACACTGATGGTCCCGCGGGCACAAAACAGCCCCCAAGGACGTCTGAGTATGCAGAGACACGACCCTGACCCCGCGCAGGGTAGGTGACCCAAACGGGGCAGCTGCTGAGGAAAACAGTCGGCCCTGCCTCAGAAGGGTAAACCGAGTCACCACAGGACCCAACAGTTCCACTCCTACTGCAGCATTACTCAGCCAGGTGACGCTACGGCGGCGTGGACAGACCTTGAGGACAGCTCGGGGTGTGGTGGGATCATCTGCCTCTCTGTGACAGCCGCCCAGGACACCCCAGGGTGCCATCCACAGGTCCCCCAGCACCCCATGGGAAATGGCACTGCACTCTGCCACCTGGCCGGTCGCTTGTCTCACAGAGGGAAACCGAGTCTGGGAAGTGTGGGTAACCATCTGTGATGCATGGCAGGCGGGACAGAACTGAAATGTGGACCCCAGACCCAAGGTGCCGCAACCCGGGCATTCCCCAAGTGAGACAGGTGGAGGGAGCTGTCACCGCCGGGCCTCCTGGGGATCCGGGCACTGAGCCCCAGCCCCACCCCACCCCTGAGGGCTCACCTGGTCACCTGGGTCCGAGTGCTGAAGTCCAGGGAGCGCATGGATCTGAGCACCTCAATGCAGCCCATGTACTGGGGACAGAGAGAACCAGTGTCAGCGACAGAAACACCGTCCAGGCCCAGTGTCCTCTCAGCTAGTCTCATGCTCCCCACGCTAACCACCGCAGCCCTTCCTCTGCCCTGACAGTTACCCTGCTGCCCCAGGGCCTTGCCACCTGCCGCCTCCCCCCACTCCCACCTCATCGCCAGGCTCAACTTCAGTGTCACCCAAGGCAAGGCTCTGTCGTGCGCTATGGAGTCTGATCTTTAACTGCCGAGATCCATGGGGAGTGCGGGCTAGAAATGACTGTCACCCCCTCATCCCTGCAGCATCCTGCGGGAAGACGCAGGGCATGACCACACTGCAGGAGATCTGCAAGACAGGTGAACCCAGAGACAGGAAGTGGATCTGTGGGTGCTGGGGCTGGACCAGGGACAGAGAGCTCCCTTCTGGGGTGACAGAATGCCCTGACCTAGAAGGGGTGGGTTGCACAACGCTGCGAATGTACTAAATGCCACTGGATTATGCACTACAAAATGATGAGTGGCTAATATTGTTTTGTTTTGTTTTGTTTTGTTTTGAACCTGGGAATGGAACCCAGGGCCTAGGCTCAAACTTGTGATCCTCCTGCCTCAGCCTCCAAGAATGCTGGGAACACAGCCATGCACCATCATGCCTGCCTTGTTTTGTGATTTTTAATCCCACCTTTTTTTTTCTTTTTTTTTTTTGGCCAGGCTCTCACTATGGAGTTCAGGCTGACTTTGGACTCATTATGTATCCTAGGCTCCAACTCGCAGCAATCCTCCTGCCTCAGCCTCCCAAGTGCTGGGATGACAGGAATATAGGACACCCAGCCTGTTTGTTTTTTGTTTTGTTTTCTTTTCTTTTGTTTTGTTTTGGTACCGGGGATCGAACTCGGGACCTTACACTTGCAAGGCAGGCAGTGGAACCACTGAGGTAAATCCCAGGTCCTAACCCAGGCTGTTTTTCACAAAATGACAATCACCCACCAACTTTGACCTCATAATTCCATTTTCAGGGCTTTACCCCACAATCTCAGCCCATATCCCTAACTCTAACCCAGACCCTGCCTCAAGCTGGAGGTGGGCACTGGGCCAGGCTGCTACTGCAGGGCACCCTTCTCCCAAGCTCCAGCTCCCAACCTTGCAAGCCTCAGTCTCCCCCCTGAGCCTGTGAACCTGCACCCCCTGTCCCACCCTGCTGGGCCTGTGGCACTGAACGTATAGAGAGAAACCGGGGCTTAGCAAGGCCCATTCAGCAGACACAAGATGCCCTAAGATGATTATTATTGTTGTCTTGCTGTTTCCCAAATAGTGCATGGGACACACACTAAAATTTGTCTGCGTTCCTTGGAGATGTAACTGGCTGAGCTGTAGGGGTTTTTTTGGTTTTTTTGTGCCAGGGATCAAACTTGGGACCTTGTGCTTGCGAGGCAGGTGGCAGAACCACTGAACTAAATCCCCAGCCCTTTTTTTTTTTTTTTTTGAGCTGTGTTTTTGCCAAAGCCAAACAGATCATGGCACTTGGGACAGAAGAGGATGCAGTTGTAACCAGAAGCAGTTGTTAGACATGTACAAGAAATCACCTCCTTGGGCCGGGGATTTAGCTCAGTGGTTCCACTGCCTGCCTTGCAAGCCCAAGGTCCCAAGTTTGATCCCCGGTACCAAAAGAAAAAAAAAAAATCACCTCCAAGAGCCGGTGCTGGTGTCACCTCATGGGACAGGAGGGACAGTGAGGAAGCTTTAAGGTGGGAGGAGGGGCATACGGGCAGTGTGCAGGGCTCAGGAGACCTGTGCCTCACATATGCGGATGAGGTGGCCTGGGCAGGGTCCCCTTGGCTGCCCAGGCCAGAGGACCTGGGCACCCTCGGTAGTTGGTAAAAATGGCCACAAGTCATTGTCCACCGAATGTGACACACACAGGGCCTCAGAAGACAGCCGCCCTCAGAGCCCTGTGACACCCCAGGGCACCAACCCAGCCTGCTGGACGAGACATAGGTCCCTGCTGACGTGGGGCCAATGGTCACAAAAGCAAGGCCTGGGAACACTCACTCCCTACACAGAATCTTGAGAAATGACAAATGTTGGTGTTTGACTCCACTAAGAAGTGGGGTGGTGAGTTACCCAGCAAAGGTTCTCGGGGAAAATGACCCAGGGTCAGCCAAGGGAGGGTCCAGGCCAAGCCAACAGCATAGGCCCAGAAGTGGGAACCGAGGAGACCAGCAGGTAAAGGCAGAGCCCCAGCATGGGGTCCGGGTGCAGGTGTTCATTCTTAGAGAGCTGAGCCATGGGAGAGTTTCTGACTTCGGGGGGAGGGGGGACTGAGCTGCCTCAGTTGGGTGGGTGCGTGGATGGGTGGTAGATGGATGGATGATGGATGGATGGATGATGAGTAGAGGGGTGGACAAATACATGGTTTATAGGTAAATCAGTGGTTGAATAGATGGTGGGTGGATGGATGGGTAGGTGGATGGATAGACAGATGGGTGGTGGATGGATGGGTGGATGGATGGATGAGAAGTGGATGGTAGTAAATCGGTAAATGGATGGAAGGATGGATGGTGGATGGGTGGGTCAATAGGTAAACGGATGGATAGATGGATGGATGGTAGATGGTAGATGGATAGATGGATGCTTGAGTAGATGGATGGATGATGAGTGGATGGATAGATACATAGAAGGATCATAAGTAAATCAATGGCTGAAGAGCTGGTAGCTGAGTGGCTGGCCGGAGGGATGAGTGGGTGGATGGATAGATGGATGAATGAGGGAGGGAAGGACGGATAGAGGATGAGCTGACCAAAGAATGGACAGGCATGGACTATATGTCCATCGTGTGTCAGAAGGGGAGCACTTCAAAGGGAATCAGTCACAGTTCTTGTCCATGGAGAGGACAGCTTTGGAGGGATGCCTGCTGCTCAGTGGATATCCTCCCTCAAGCAGAATACATGTCTCTGTGTGGGTGTCCATACCAGTGTCTGGTACTCCAGGGCCAAGGCAGGGGGTAGGTTGCTGATGCTACTGGTCTGGGTACCACACTCTCTCATCACTGATTTAAGCCAATTTGATAGCCCCATTTTTCCTTGCTATAAAGTATAAGGGCCAGAAGATGGGAGCCTCATAAAAAGAAGAGGATGCCAAAGAAAGTCTTCTCTTCTTCTAGTGGAAAGGCTGGGTCCACAAACAATGCCTGGAGCTCTGGCTGCCTCTTTGTGACCAGGAAGAAAGATAAGCCAGCACGCTGAAGATGGCCACACAGAAAGACATAGAAAGAACCTGGATCTTGAAGCTTGCTGCCAAGTTGCCTCCTGTGGGTGGGTGGTCACTGTCTACACCCTCCACCATGAGGCAAGGGTTCGATGGAAAGCAGGTAGCTTTCGCTTGTGTAGAGAGAAGTCCAATGAGTCAAGATGGAGCAAGAAGGACATGGGCCTGGGCATCCACAGACCCGGGTGACGACTCTGGCTTCCCCTTGGGGAAAGCTCCAGGTCTTGGTCCACAGAGCCAGTGCTGCTCAGATGTGATCCTTTCTGCAAAGACCCCAAGTCAGGGATAAATCGCCACCTAGGATGGGGCCGCTCCATGGGGCCCACTTCCGCCTGGGGACACTTAAATCTGACGTAAGATTTAAAATGTCTCTCTGCATCACAAAGGCCACATTTCAAGGTGGCAACAGATACAGAAAAGTCCTCTGGGCAGCGTGGGGCCACAGGAAGAAGGACCGTCCTACAGCACCCCAGCCACCAATGCAGGAGCTCGCTGGGGCACCAAGGACGAAAAATGGATCCCTGGGGCCGCCCTACCGCCACCACACACTGAGCTTCAGACAACAGGAAGGATCCGCCTGGGCCTGGAGCCCAGACGTCCACCTTTGGGTCTGTTCAGGGCCCACTGCCTCTCCCGGTGTCCGGCCACGACCAGCCATCCTTTGTGTTATCTGGCTTGGGACCACATCACTCCCTTTTGCTCCTCACCACTTTCGCCCCGCCCTGAATATCTTCACACAGCCTGCTTGCTTGCTTTTCTTTCTTCTTCTTCCTCTTCCTGTTTTTCCTCCTCCTTCTCCTCTTCTTTTTTGGTACTGATGTTTTTTGAGCTACGCTCTCACTGTGCAGCCCAGGCTGGCCTTGAACTCCTCCTGCCTCAGCCTCCTGAGTGCTGGGATGACAGATGTGCAGCACTACACCTGGCTGCCTCCTTGATTTCCCTGCACCTCAGCTTTTGCAGAAAATGGGCAGAAAAATCTCCAGGTTGTGGGAGCGTCCAGCCCAGGTCTCTAGAAACAACAGGCGCAGAGCCGGAGGCCGGCTGGATCCACATCTGTGCAGGGCCCTTCCATCTGCACAGAAATACATGGGGCTCTGCCAGGGGCTGTGATGCCCAGCGGGCGTCACCTGGCTTTGAGCCCCCTGGCTGCTGGCACGCAACCCAAAATCTTGGGGGCTGCGAACAACACAAATTTATTCTCTTACAGTCCTGGGTCCAGAGGCTGCACAGCCTCACTGGGTTGAGTCTAGGTGCGGGTGGCAGGACTGCTCCTCCCGACCCTCCGGGAGAACCAGGTTGGGGCCTGGATGACCAGGGAGCAACCTTGGCCTCTCTGTGCCTCAGTTTCCCCATCCGTAACGGGGACTGCCTGGAGTAAGAGTTATGCTCAGAACTGCTGATCCCATGTCTCTCGCTGATCCCATGTATCTGTGACGGGGGTGGCCATTGCCTGACCCCACCTCCTCCTCCACCAACCAGGAGGCTTGTCTGGCATGCACTACCAGTTACCAGCACAGCCACTGCGGCCACCTTTGGCATCCACAGCTGCAGGTGTCAGCCTAAAGCTCACCTCCCGGCCACTCCAGCTCAAGTGGCCCACTTCGGCCCGCTTCTCACTGTGCCAAAGAACTGTACTATTCCTCTAGCCCTTCCCAGGCCCTGGAACTTCCCCTCTCTCTCTCTCTCTCTCTCTCTCTCTCTCTCTCTCTCCCTCTCTCCCTCTCCCTCTCCCCCCCCCCCCCCCCCCCCCCCCCCCCCCCCCCCCCGTACTATACTGAGTGCCATTGCACTGAGCTACATCCCAAGCCTGTTTTTATTATTTTAAGTCACTGGACTCAAACTTGTAATCCTCCTGCCTCAGAGCACTGGGATGACAGTTGTGCCCCACTTTGCCAGGTTTTACTTGCTCTCTTATTTATTGCCCCTCCCACTCCCTGAGGGCAGGGACCAGGGCCTTCTATTTCCTCCATGTCTTCCTTCCTGACTGATGGGAGTAGGCAAATACTATGTGCTCAGGAAGGTGACTGTCCACCCACACCTGGGAACCAGGACCAAGTTCCAAACCTGTGGGTCCAGGCTGGACCTGGAGATCTGCCAGAGAGTCTATGCCAGCTTGGACCCCACAGAGGGTGTGGGTGTGCTGGGTGGGGTATTAGCTTCCTGCAGCTGTTGTAACAAAGTACCACCAACCAGGAGACTTAAAACAACAGAAAAAGCCAGACATGGGGCACACATCTGTGATCTCAGCACTCAGGAGGCTGAGACAGGAGGATCCTGCAAGTTTGAGTCCAGTCTGGGCTACAAAGTGAGTTCAAGACCAGCCTAAACCACATAGAGAGGCCTTATCTCAAAACAAACCAAAAAACAAATGTATTCTCTCTCAGTTCTGGAGGTGGAAATCAGCTCAGTCTGTGCCGGCTGCACCATGCCCCCTGCAAGCACCAGGGGAGGGTCTGCCCTGCCTCTCCCAGCTTCAGGGGCCCTGGACAAGCTCTAGTGGCTCTCGGCTTGTGGTCGAGTCCCTCCAGCCCCACCCTCACCGCCTCTTGGCCTCTTTGGGCCTCTCCTCAGAGACACCAGTCGTTGCTTTGGGACCACTCTAACCCAGTAGCTCTATACCAATCTGATGACACCCACAAGTCCCCTGATCAGACTCAGGTCCCAGTCACAGATCCCCAACGCACAGAATCCCAGACTGGTACAGGGGGAGGGCAAATGATGTTGGGGACCCTCCTGAGAACGCAAGGACACCTGACCACCAGCCCCAGGCACACTCCCTCTGGGGTTCCTGTCCAGGACTTCCTGCAGTCTGGTTTTGCCGACTGCAGTGGGCGGGCAAAGACGTCTCCGAAGGCCAGCATCACACACCCGCAGCTTCCAAATGTTTTATTAAACACTAGACACAAAAGTCAGGTGTGGAGGGCTGGGGATTTACCTCAGTGGTTTTGTTGCCTGCTGCGCAAGCGCAAGGACCAGAGTTCGATACCCGGTACCAAAAAAAAAAAAGTCAGGTGTGGAGGTGCACGGCTCTAGTTCCAGCTACCAGGGAGGCTCGGGCAAAAGGATCAGAAGTTCTAGGCCAACCTTGGCAATTTAGCGACAAATTGTCTCAAATTAAAATAAAAAGGGCAGGGGGTGTGGCTCTGTGGTGAACGCCTGCCTAGCTGTGCAAAGCTCAGGGTTCCGTCCCCAGCAGCCCCAAATGATAAAAAAACAAGCTACACACACACACGCACGCACGCACGCACGCACGCACGGGAACACTGAGACAGGCGATGTCACAGTAAGAGGGGGAGAGGGGCTCATCTATCCCCGCACTTCCTGTGTGAGACTCGGCCCAGAACAAAATCCCGAAATAAATAAAGGCGAGCCTCTCCAGCCACGTCGGAGGTGTAGGTCCGTGGTCTCTCATCTGGAGCCCGGAGATCTTGGGGCCCCATTAAAGTCTCCAAAAGTCACCTCTGGTCCAGATTTCTGCAAAGGAGCTTTTCCCGGGCCAGATGGCTCCGCGCCCCATCCCGCAGCTCCTCCTGGAGCACCCCCACCCCAGGGGGCTGCACCTGCGCATGCGCCCCCTCCCACTTGTACCTCTCCCCGCCCCTCCCCACGTGACACCGTGGGAACCGGACCAGAGATGGGGGTCGGGGAGGTGAGGAGAGCCGACACCTCGCTCTCAGGGTCCAGGGCCTTTAAAGGAAGTGTGAGGTGAGCCCTAGACCCCGGAATGCAGGAAGGGGATTCGGAGGGGACGGGACCCCAGAGTCCCGCGGGCTCACTCACCCGGACGATGTAGGAGACCCCGGGCCCCAGCACCCTGGCATCGGGGTGCAGCCAGCCGTGCGCGGGCTTGTGGATGAAGCCGCTCTTGCGCTCCCACTCGTCGGCCAAGGCGTCTGGGGGCCCGGCCAAACCCCGCGCGCCCCGCGGCCCGCGCGCCCCCGAGGCCCGGCAGCGGCTGAGCGCAGGCAGCGGGCAGGGCGCGGCGCAGCGCGGCTCGCAGGCGCCTAGCACGGCGGCCAGCGCGGGGCCTGCGTGCTCCGTCCGGGGGTCGCCCGTGCCCGCCGCGCCCTCGGCCCCCGTGGCCCCAGCCGTCCGCGTCGCCCCCGCAGCTGGCCCGCGGCCCAAGAAGCCGGCGGGTGCCGCGAACTTCCACTGCGGCATGCGCGGCAGCAGCGCGCAGAAGGTGGTGGGCGCCTCGGGCTCGGGGCCCGCGGGGGGCGCCCGCCCGCCCGGACCCTGCGTCATGGCCGCGGCCACCACCGAGCCGAGCCGCCGGGTGGGTGCGCCTGGCGCGGAGGCCGCCCCGCTCCCGCCCGGCCCGGCCCGGCCCCGGCCCCGGCCCCGTCCCCGCCCCGGCCAGTGATGTCACCACCCGACCCAGCGCGCAGCCGCGGGGGGCTGCGCCCCTGGGACCCCGGCCCTTCGCGACCTGGCGCTTGGGGGGGCTTGGGGCGGAGCGATGTTTCAGCTCCAAGATCCTTGCGGCGGCTGCCCCGCTGCGCCCCAATTTCCTAGGGGAGACTTAAGAATGAACTTGGACAGATGGGGAAACTGAGGCTGGGGAGAGGAGGGGCGCGATCAGGGCCAGAGATGACAACCCCACGCCCAGGGGCAGCCCCAGCCCGCCACGCTGCTCCGGATCACACCCTGATTTCTCTCCCAGCGGAGAAACAGAGGCCTGGGCAGGCGACGGGGGTCCCAGGAGGCAGCGCGGGCAGTGCTGGGCCTGGAGGGGTCGGAGACCGGAGACCAGCATGCCCCTTGCAGACCTAAAGGTTGGGTCCTTCTGTACCGAGGACCGAGGTGTCCGGACACCCCAGAACCAGACTCCCCACCCCCACCCCGCCCCGGGCCGCTGCAGAGAGACAAAGCAAGGGCTCTGGCAGGCAGGTGGGGAGGGCGAGGCGTGGCCACCGAGGAGCGATCCGTAAATCAGAGAAATGAGGTCACCGCGCCCAGGGGGAGGGGCGCTCCCGCAGAAGGGGCGGCAGTGGTCGTGGGAGAAGCAGTGCCCCCTGTGGAGGCCCCAGCTGGAGCCCACACCCGGGCCCTGCGCAGGGGTGGGCAGTGTGTGGAGGGTGTCTGGGGCACAGGGGTGGTGAGGTCCCTTGGGGAGGAACTGGCCTGGCTCCCTGACCTAAAGGACTTGGTCACCTGGCACCATCCATATCTCTGTCCCTAGTGACCAGGGTTCAAATCCAGCATCAGACTGACAACTGTGGGAGTGGACAGGCCTCAGCATCTCCAAAGCCTTGTTCCCTCTGGAGACTATCACTTGCCTCCCACGTTGCTATAAAACCTAGGTGACATTCATCAATATCTGGGTAGTCATAGGCATCTGGAGGGTGTTACAATGCATCAAACTCCTATGCATCCTTCAAAGCCCAAGTGCAAAGTTTTATCTTCCAGAAACCCCATCTGACTCTCCTCATTCAAAACCTTGGCTCCACTCTGGCCTCCCCCATGCTGGGTCCCTCATCTGCTCCCTTCCAGGCCAGTGGAGGACTAGAGAGTCTCGAGTTGGCCTTGGAGGTCAGAATCCAGGTCTCCTTTCTAGGGCAGGAATAGACACATTAAAGGAGCCATCATGAGGGCTGTTGACAGCTGTTGGCCTTGAGAGATTTATTGGCAGCAACTCTAGGGGGTGGATGGGGTGGGCAGGGACCTCCATGGGCCCTGCTTCTCGAGAAGCAGGGATGAACCCAAGCTTGGTAGAAACTGGAGCTTTTCGGGAACCAGGCCCGGGTGGGGCTGGACACCAAGTTCCAGGACACAGGAAGCTCCACCTCTGGCCAGGAAAAGGGACACTGCCTGCCTGCTCTGGCCTGGTGTGACCGGGAGAGGAGAAACTGGGGCACTACACAGGGCCTTGGGGCGTGGCCCTGGGGACGGAGGGCCAGGCACCTAGAGAGACCTCAGACAGAGCGGGAGGGTGCCTGTGCCCTGTGGGAGTGTACCATGTGCCCTGTGGCTGCCCTGAGCCCCCCGCCGCACCCTTCTAACCATGGAGGCCTGGGTGGTCAGGGTGCGGTGTCCAGGGCCAACCTGGCCGCCCGCTTCGAGTGGCGGATACCCATGCTGTACGCCGGGGCCCGGGCTCTGTTCACGGTGACCTGCTCGGGGCTGTGGCTGCCAGGCCCAGGCGTCTCCTCCAGGGGCTGTGGGGCACGGGGCCGGCCCAGCATGGTGAAGGCTGGCCGGCGCTGGCGGTAGGCGTTGGGGTCCGGGCTGTCATACTGGCCGGGGCCTGGGAACTTGGCGGGGTCCTGTGGGAGGCGGGCAGGGGGCGTGCGGCCCACCACTGTGTAGCTGGGGCTCCTGGGTTTGACCAAGATCTGTGAGCCCCAGAGTGGCGGCATGGTGTAGGCATTGGGGGCCGGGGCCGAGGAGTCGGGGGGCTTTGGGTACAGGCGCAAGCCAAGGGTGAACGCTGGGGGGTTCCGCTGGCGCACAGGGGGCACCTTTTCCGGGCTGTAGGCCCCAGGGCCTGGCGTCACCTCCATACCTGTGGGAGCAGGGACACGGGGTTGACACAGGACAGAGAACTTCCCCATTCAAAGATCTTGCATGGCCCCCACTGCTCACGTGCATCCTGGAGCTCATACGCAAACCACGCGGCCTCAGGACATTTCTCCCACTGCTCTCCATCCTCCATACATACTTTCTGCTTTCCAGTCTCCAGGGCTTCACCCAAACCTAACCAGTGGCCTGCCATGGCTTCCCTTTCCCATCCCTCCTCCCAAAAGCTGCTCCTCATTCCCCAGCTGCCAGCCCCACTGCCCCTCCTCTCTGATGGCTTCCCTGCACCCCCTTCTGGGCAGAACTCGCCCTCCTGGCCCTCGCAGGACCCCTCCTGCCTGGCTCTTTCTCTCTCCAGACACGACCACCCTGAGGGGCAATGGCCCCCTCTTGGGTCTGAGTCTACCACCAGCCTGGGCCTCATGAGACATGAGGACACCTCACGTGTGCACCACTCCCAGCACTTTGTGAGACTGAGCAGGTGGATGGGGTAATGCAAGTGGTCAAGCAGAGTGAATGGGTGAGTGAGAGGATCCATGAACACAGAGGGAGATGAACCAGTCAGTGCATGGAATGGATGGGGGACGGATGAGTGGATGATGGATGGATGGGTGGATGATGGGTAGACGGAACGATTGTGGATGGATTCATGGGCCTGTGAGAGGGCCTGGTGACAGCAGAAGGCTTACTGGCTGGTTGGAGGAGGGGTATCTGGATGGGTGCGCGGAACCATGGGTAAACCAGTGGAAGAGCTAGCTGACTGACGGGTGGCTGGGTGGGCAGTTTGGTGAGCAGGTCAGTGGGTAGAAGAGGAGATGGGAAACGGCTTGGCAGATGGAAGGGTGAGCGAGAGTTGGAGTCAGGTGACAGGAGCTGTGGGACCCAGAGATCATTCTGCTAGACCCCTGCACGTGTGTGTCCTGCCGCCTGGGACCAGGTGGCTGCCCTCGTGGCACTGCTGCACTTGGGTCCCTGTTGCCCTGGCCTTTCCCCACCTCTGAGTCCTTTGGACTTCATCCCAGAGACACCCATGGTCTGCGGGTGGGAGGGAAGGAGGTAGAGGGAATGCCCGCGCGTCACCTCCAGCTGGTACTCACCCCGAGACTTGCCCCGGCCCTGCATGGAGTAGGCAGGGGTGCAGCTGCGGCCGAAGCGGGTGACCTTTGGGTCCAGGAAGTAGATGGGCCCCGGGCTGGTGTCCTGAGGAGGGGCTGGAGAGGGGCCAGAGTCTAAGGCCCCCGGGGAGGACGGGCGGCCTGACAGCCTGAGAAATATGTTCCCAGCTGGCAGCTGAGGCTGTGCTGTTCCACCCACTCCAGTCTCCCCACAGCCCAGCCTAAGTCCCCAGTGGCGACACAACTCCTGCACAACCCACAGGGTCTGGCTGTGCCCCCTCCCCAGCCCATGGCACAGTGGACCATGCCAGGGTCGGGAGTGCTGGGGCCACACGTGAGCAGCTAATGCTTCTCTCCCAGCGTGTCAGTAACCCCAAGGGAGAATCTGCTATGACCCCTTTCTCAAAAATGGAGCCAAGTGTGATAGCACATGGCTGTAATCCCAGCACTCAGAAGGCTGAGGTAGGAGGAGCTCTATGAGTTCAAGTTCGAAGCCAGCATGGGCTACATAGTAAGACCCTGTCCCCCCTGCCAAAAAAAAAAGTGGAACTTTCAGCGCAGGAAGTCACCGGCAAGGACATGGAAAGTAGGACTCAGTGCTTGGCTTCTCCCCTCACTGTCACATGTCGCAGCCTGTTCTGCTTCCCCCCTCCCACCTCAACTCTGTGACAAATGAAGGTATCTCAACCCATTATAATGTGTCCCACCTACCTATGCTACGGGCTCTTTGTAGAGTTCCCTTCTTCTCCTGAGGCCTCCACCAAACTCCTATTCATCCCACAAAGCCCAGATCCCAAGCCTCCCCTCCCAGTCTACCCTGGGCCTCCAGCAAATGATTTACAGTCCCCCTCAGCCAGCCTCCCGAGGAAGTTCCTGTCTTAGCACAGCCACCACAGAGCAGGGAGTTCACTATGCTCACAAGAGCCATGCAAGGGCAAGGGCCCAGTGAGGAACCTGAGGCTCAGCACTCACATCGACCGCCCACTTTTACTGGGCGCTCACCAGATACCAGGCACCATGGTAACTATCCCCTCCCCTCTGGTGCTGGAGATGAACCCAGGGCCTCAGCCCAGGCAGACAAGGCCCTACCACTGGGCCACAGCCTCAGCCCTGATGTTAACATTTTTTTCTTTTTGTTTTTTGAGACAGGGTTTCACTATGTAGCCCAGGCTGGCCTTGAACTCACGGCAATCCTCCTTCCTCAGCCTCCTGAGTGCTGGAATGACAGGGGTGGACCACCACAGCCGGCTGATGTTAACATTTAACACAGGCATAAACTCCGACACAGAGCAATTAAGCAGTTTGCCTAAAGCCCAATAGAACAGAATTGCAAAACCGACAAGGTGAACAAAAACAGGTCTTAAACATGATACACCACATCTCCTCCTTCCTTTCTATCGCTAAGAAAACAGAGGACCAGAGAGGGACAGCGGCTTGCCTGAGGTCACACAGCCAGGGCAGGTGGGCTGGTCATCCCCCAGCCCTGCCTGCTTCCTGACTCAACCAGGTAGATGTGCTCCCTCCTGGGGGACCCTAGGGGCCCCGGCAGCCCTCACCTTCACTGGGCTTCCGAGCGAGCGAGTAGGCAGGACCGGTCACCCTGGTGCAGTCGTGGTGAACGAAGCCCACGGTGGTGGGCAGGATGTACAAGCCTGGCCCGGAGCCTGCAACCCAGAGCCCAGGTCACCACGGGGCCAGGGGAGGAGCTGGACCTGGGCTCCCACCCACCGCCATGGCAGCGCTGAGGCCAGGAGCTCTGCCGCTGGGGACAGTGACACCCACTGTGAGCCAGAAGCCAGTCACAGGGTGCGAGGGGGCTCGGAGCTCCGCTGCTCCTGCATGGGGGCTCATGGGGAAGCAAGGCCAGGCGCAGAGTCGAGGCTGGTGAGAAAGCGGAGGCCAGTTCAAAAAGCCCACACCACTGGGGAAACTGAGGCCCGGGAACAGGCTGAGGACCTGAACTGGAGTGAGACCCCAGCTCTTTTGCACAGCTGGGGAGACACAGGCGCTGCCGTTCCAAGGCCAGCGTAGCCCCTGACCTCGGTGCCCTCCCCTCGGGCCGCCCGTGTCCCCGCAGCCCCTCCCCCTCCTCTGCCTCACTCTTCCCTCCCCTGCATCCACCCATCCTGCACCAGGGAAACTGAGGCCCCTGGCACGCACCGTCCTCCGGGGGCTTCTGCAGGGTCCCCATGGCAGGTGAGGGGCTGGGGCGGCAGCTCCAGCACCTGGGCCCTGGGCGCTGTCCCCGGTCCTCACAGCTCGTGCTCCCTGTGCCCGATCCACGGCTGGCAGCGCCCAGGCTTGCCACACCTCCCACCGCTGCACGGACCGCCCCTTGTCCCCGGGCCCAGGCCGGGCTGACCGGCTGGATGCTGGCCTGGAAGTGGGCTAGGATCGAGTGTCGGCCAGGTGGCCGGGAGTCCAGGGAAGAATCCGGTGTCAGCAAAGCAGGTGCCCGGGGAGAGGCCCCAGGGCGCCGAGCCGCAAACCCAACACCCAAAGCCAAGTGGCTGCAAGGACACCGCAGATCACGGGCGGGCAAGGCCCCTGTCACAGCAGCCCAAGGTCACTCAGCACAAGGTCCAGCAGCTCCGGGCAGAGGAGCATTCGTTCACTCATTGCTTCTTCCATGCACACAGCAAGCACTTACTGCTCACCTGACTGGGCTCTGTGTGGGGTGGTGGGGACCAGACAGGAACCAACAGACCAGGACTGATGCCGTGGAGAGCAGAGAGGACACGAACAGGGGATGCAGTGAGAAGCAAGCTCTGTGGGAGTCACAGGTGCTGGGGTGCTGCAGCGGCCTTCGGTCGGCCAGGACTGGCTGCTGCCTCCTGGAAACCTGCGGGGGTGGACACTGGTCCCACACAGGACTGTATTCCTGCCTCCGCTACAGGCTACTACTGGGTCAGGCCAGAGTGAAGCTCAGACTCATGGCCACACGCAGTGGTGCTCGCCTGTGATCGCAGTGCTCGGCAGCCTCCTTGTCAGTCCCAGCCATCAATCTGCAGAAGAGGGCAGCCTGGCCAGGGCGCAGGGACAAGGCTCTGGCCAGCTCTGTGGAGCCCACCTGAAGGGTACAGAGAGAGAACTAAGGCAAGGAGGAACTGTGAAAGCCACCACTGTCTGATGGGGAGATCAGGAGGAGCTGCCTGAGAACACACAGCGCAGATTCCTGAAGCAGGGAAGAGGGGGCCCCCAGGAGATAAGGGGGAGGTGTTCCAAGCAGAGTACGGAGCCATGCAACGGGCCTGAGACCACTTGAGGACTTGGCTTTGACTCCAAGGGAGGTGAAGTTCAAGGAGGCCTGTGGGACAGAGGAGGGGTCAGTCCGAGGCAAATGCTCACAGCCGCCCTCTGGTGGCTACGGGAGGAAAGTAGCATGGGCTGAGGTAATTTGAGCAGGTCTAAAATGCTGGGATGAATGACTTAGGGATGATGGGAAGATGATAGGACAGTGATGAGAAAGGTGTTGGGAGCATGATGGAGGAATGATAGGAGGAATGATGGGAGGGTGATGAAAGATGATGAAGGATGATGGAGGATGGTAGAGGTCGATGGGAGTTGATAGAGGATGATGGGACATGATGGAGGATGATGGGAAGTGATGGAGGATGATGGGAAGTAATGGGTGATGATGGGACATGATGGAGGATGCTGGGAAGTGATGGGTGATGATGGGAGGATAAAGAGTATGATGGGAGGGTGATGGAGGGTGACAGGGTGATAGAGGATGACAGGTGAATGATGGAGGATGATGGAAGGATATGGAGGATGATGTGAAGGTAATGCAGGGCGATGGTGCTAATGGAGGATGGTGGAGGATGATGAGAAGGTGATGGAGGGTGATAGAGGGTGATAGGAAGCTGACAGAGGATCATGTGAGGAGGACAGGAGATCCCAGCCCTGTCTGTGAGGAGGGAAAGTGAGCTGTGGGTGGGTGCATCTGGGTCTCTTTTGAAACCTGGGCTCTCCATCAGTTTTTCCTGCCCTGAGGGAGTTGGGGCTCTCCAGGATTGGTGTCTGCCAACCTTGTCACACCTTTGTCAACCTCACAGCACACGCAACACCAAGAGTGACCCACAATGTCAGTTTTGGACTCCTGGGTGACAGTGATGGGACAGGGAGGTCCAGCAGCTATAAACAAGGGGCCCTTGGCTGGGGCCCAAGGTTTAGTGTTGACTTTGGACTTCTGGCCTTCAGAGCAATGGGAGAAGACATTCCCATTGTTTAAGACACTCAACCATCACACTTAGCTGTGGCAGTCCTAGCAAATGTATAGAGTGGCTTCCTAGCTGGGCTCTGAAGAGTGCATAAGAGTTTAGTGGCAGAAAAAGGAAGGCAAGGGCATTTCATGGCTACTGCATGGCCCTTGCCCCCATGCACATGGCTGAAGTGGACCTGTCCCTGGATAAGGGTGCCCCATTCCAGCTGGGGCTGCTGAGTATTCCAGGGCCTGTGTGAGGTACCTCTGCCTCAGTTTCCTCCTCCACACCATGAGCACATGATATCTTGGTCCAGGGGGTACAAGGAAGGGCTCTGGCTCCTCCTGCCCTGCTCTAGGGAGGGAATCTCCTGGCCCCTGCAATGTCTGGTTCAAAACCCACCCAGACCAGCCACAGATCACTACCCAAGCCCACCCCAGTCTGGGCCACCTTCCTCAAAACCTACTGTCCCCTGGGAGACCCCCAGACCCAGGTCCCTAAAGGCCACTCAACACGGCAGCCAGGCCAGCTTTGCACCACGGCTGACAAACATACCCTCTCCAGCACAGGATCGACACAGCACACTGCCAGTGTCCTCTCTCCTTTTGCCCCACCACACTGGCCTCATCCTGTGCTCCAAAGAGACCATTATGACATTTTAAGAGAACTTAGGCATGGCAGTGCACACCTCTCTGCCCATAGTGGAGAGGCTGAAGCAGGAGGATCAAAAATTTGAGCCCAGCCTGGGCAACTGAATAACTAAGTGAGACCCTGTCTCAATGTTTTTTTTTTTCTTCTGGGGATCAAACTCAGGGGATCATCCCTCAAATTCCAGGGATTTAGCTCAGTGGTTCTGCCGCCTGCCTTGCAAGTGCAAGGTCCTGAGTTCGATCCCTGGTACCAAAACAATAATAATTTTAAAAATTTAAATAGGGCTGTGGTTGTAACCCAGTGCAAAGTCCCTGGATTCCATCCCCAGAATTGAAAGAAAAAAAACCCACACCCCCAGACAACCTCACTGAGCCAGTTCATTTCCACAAGCAAGTCCCACGTGAAACACAGAATGCTGTGTCTTCCACACACCCGTGCGTGTGTAAACCTGGTCTCACTGCAACTTGCACTTCTTGCTGTGGGGCACAAAATATTTGCCAGCCATCCACCAGCATAAGGGTTATTTGTTTGCTTGGTGTATATTTGCTGCTGCAGTCACTATAACTAATCACAAATTCATGCTTCAAACAACACAGGTTTATTAGCTTATGTCTCCCTGGGCTGAGTCCAGGCGCAGGCGGCAGGGCTGCTCCTCCTGAGGCTCTAGGGAGAACCCGGGCCCCCATCCTGGCTCCTAGAGGCGCCTGCAGCTCTCGGCTTGGGCCCCATCCTCCATCTGCAGAGCTGGCAATGTGGCATCTTCAGCCTCTCTCAGCCTGTCACCTCCAGTCTCCTTCAGGACAAAGGTGGGATTTCCGGTCAGGTCAGCAGGAGGAGAAATTCTAGCAATGACCTGAAAGAAGACTTTGGATTTCCCTGATCAAAGTGGGAGTCACCAGGTTCTGGCACAACAGAGGGGGACAATCAAGCTGGGTCTATCAGGGTCCCTCTGGTCACTGTGCAGAATGTGGTCGGAATGTGGACATAGGGACACCAGTGGCACACACTGCTCCTGGGTGACGCTGTGGACACCGAATGTTCTAGAGGCAGAATCCCAAGAGTTTTACAGATGTGGGGTTGGGGAAGAGGTAAAGACAGAGGGGGCCAAGCACACCCCAAGCCTGGACCTGGCCCTCCAGAAGGATGGGCTCCATCTCAGCTCAGCAGTCATTGGCTCAGACTCCCCGGCTTGCCTGTATTATGCTACTCCACGCAACTCACATGTGCACACATGCATACACGCGCACACACACACGCACACACACGCATGGGTACACACCCACAGGAGCACAAGGGCACATGCAGAGGCAGGGCTGTTGCACCCAACCCCACACCCTGGGGTGCAGTATTATACTGGGAGTTAGGCCCAGGCCTTCACACTGAGCTCCATCCCAGCCCTTTTTATTTTTTATTTTGAGACAAGGTCTTGTTAAGTCACTATGTTGGAACTGGACTGGATTGGAACTTGAGGTCCTCCTGGCTCGCCGTCCCAGAGTGCTGGGATGACAGGCACGTGCCGCTGTGCCCAGCTGGCTCTCATCTTTCTAGAAACACATCCTGAGGCCCACAGGCAAGGATGTTTCTCCTGGGAGGCCAGGTTTCTGGGGTAAGCTGCTGTTTTCTGTGTCCCTGGCATTCAGCAGCATCAAGACAGGGAGCAGGGAGCTGATGCTCACGGGTGATGCCTCCCACATCCAGGGCCAGCTCTGCCTCTGGCCTCCCAGCCGCCAGGATCTGTCACTCCCCATCTCCCCGGGGACGGCCCGCCTTTGTCCTCCACCTGGCAGCTAGTCACCTGACTCACACCCATGTGCCTCCAGGCCGCCTGCCCCTGTCCTGCCAGGACTCTAACAAGGGAGACTTGTCCTCTCCGCCACACTCCCAAGGACACAGAGAACCTGCCAGGCTCCTCTCCTTCTCTCCCAGAAAGAGCTGCCATCCACACAGGTCAGTGAGGATCAGAGCAGGGCCAGGACCCAGGCTCCAGGCTGGCAGGTCCCCCAGCCTTTTCTGTGGTACTGGGCCCTGAACCCAGGGCCTTTTCACTGAGTTACATCCTCAGCCCTTTCTTTGTTTTTATTTTTGAGACAGTCTCACTAAATCACTAAGTTGCTCAGGCAGGGCTGGAATTTCGATCCTCCTGCCTCAGCCTCCCAGAGTACTGGGATGATAAGTTTGTACGAACATGCCTACTGCAAGTCCACCTTTTACATACAGGATACTGAGGTCCAGAGGAAGGGAGGGCTCATGTGCTGAAGATGAGGGAGCCAGAGAGGGATCTTTCTCTCTCCCGCAGCTGTGTGTCTCCCGGTTGAACACAGTGAGGCAGGGGCCTGCTGCACAGGGGTGGGCAGCACCACAAGGGCTAAGATGTGGGGGAAGCCCATGAGCTGGTTGATGCCACGCTGGCTGTAGGCCATGCTGGGTGAATTTACACCACAAGAATTGGCACAGGCTCCAGATCAGGGCTTTCTACTTTGCAGAACCAGTCCTAAGGTTTATCAGCACTGCACTCCCTGTTTATGATGCTTAGGGTTTACAGGCTTTGGGTCCTGAGCATCCCCCATATGTCCCAGTGTTAAAGGCTGGGTCCTCGGAGTGGTAGAAACTTTAAGAGGTGGCCCTTGTCAGGCATAGTGGTGCACACCTGCCATCCCAGCACTATGGGAGGCTGAGACAGGAGGACCATTCAAGCCTAGCAACTTGGCCTGGGCAACTTAGCGAGTCTCTGTCTCAAAATAAAAAATAAAAAGGGCTGGGGATGAAGCTCATGCAAAAGCCCGGCGTTCAGTTCCCAGTATGCAGGGGGCAGGGGGAGAAAGAGGTGGGAGCTAATGACAGGCCTTTGGGTCACTGGAGGGCATGCTCTCCAAGGGGACTGTGGGACTCCAGGGCCTTCTTCAGTCTCTCTCGTTTGCTTCCAGGCCATGAGGAGAACAGCCTGCTCCTCCATGTGCTCCCACCATGATGTGCTGCCTCCCCACAGGCCCAAAAGCAACAAGGCAATTGATCATGGACTGGGACTTCCAAAATCATGAGCTGAAATAAACCTTTTCTCTGAATAAGCTGATTACCTATTGTACCTATTCATTATACTAATGGAAAGCTGACTGCCATAGGGTTTAAGGTCCTCCTGCCTTAGAACATCAGTTCTTCTACCAGGGATCTATGCAGCACATGCTCTGTGGTCTCCCCGGCACCTAGAACAATGCTTAGCATACAGCATGCACCAAATAAACGTGTGTTCAAGTTAGCACTGCATGCCTGTGATCCTGGCACTCTGGCAGCTGAGGTGGGAGGATCCCAAGTTCAAGCCCATTCTGGGCAAATTAGCAAGACCCTGTCTCAAAATTTAAAAATGAAAAGGACGGGAGATGTAGTTCAGTGTGAAGGCTAGGTTCAATCCCCATACTGATAGAGTAACACTATGCAATAAGACAGGCCCTTGCCTTCCCTCCATGTTTTTGTTTTTTTTCTCTCCACAAAATGTTTTGTTCCACAAAAAAACCACCACCACCACCACCACCACAATAAATAGTAGCTGAGGATTTAGCTCAGTGGTGCCCATGCCAGTTTGTGCTGCTGGGCAGTGCTCTTGCTTTTTTTTTTTTTTTTTCAGAACCTAGGGTGAACTCAGGACCTTGCGAGGCAGGCACAGCACCACCGAGCTAAATCCCCAGCCCCTCAAAATGTTTTGTGACTGTTTGAACTTTGTGTCCTCTCAGGAACGGTTCTGTTAGCTCCACCCCCTTCAGGAACATTCTGTGACTCCACCCCCACCCCCCCACCCCCTGCTTCCCCAAGCATGATCACGTGGCATGTGTTTCAGGAATGTTCTGTAACTCTGCCCCCTCTGCTTCAATGAGCATGCTCACCTAACCTGTAGATCCCTGTATAAGAAGGCTCACGTTTCTGGTACGGCACTCAGACTTCAGAGTACAAACTCCTCTGAGCCTGCCGGTGTAGTAAAGGTTTTTCTTCACCTTTTTGAGTGACAATCGGATTCTTGAGTCTTCAAATCGCGATAGCCAAGACCAAGGGCAATAACACTGAACTGTAACACTCAGTTGTGCCTCAGAGCTATGGCACTTGGCTGTGACACTGAGCTGTAACACTTGACTATAGCACTGAGCTGTTCACTTTGCCACAACAATACCACAAAAGAAAAAGAAAAAACCTGTTGAATTAATGAATGACCTCCAATGCTCTCAGACTCTAAAACATCAGGGTCCTCACCACAAAACCATCACCTCAAACAGGACCTCAACTTCCAACACCATTGGGCCAATCCCAGAATGCCCTCCAAACTTTAAGGAAAGCACTCAAGTTCCCCACACCTTCCCCCCACCATGCAAGCACTAAACCCAGGGCCCAGCACATGACTCTATCCTAGAGACAAGGTCTAGTGCCAGAAAGACCCTACCATCATAATCCCAGCACCCTAGAAACAAGACCCTGCCATCAGAAACAAGACCCTGCCAGCTTCCTAGCACCAGACCCTTGTCATGATAATCCTAGCTCCCTAGCAACAGAACACCAGCCATGGCAACAAGACCCAGCTACAAGCAATAGAATTCAACTCCCTAGCAACAGGATCCCAGATTTATCAACATGATCCAAGCCCCTAGCAACAGCATCCCAGCCTTGGCAACGTGGTCCCAGACCTTAGCAACAGGGCCCCAGCCCTGGCAACATGATCTCAGCCCCTAGCAACAGGATCCCAGCCTTAGCAACATGATCTCAACCCCTAGCAACAGGAAACCAGCCTTGGCAATGTGATCTCAGCCCCTAGCAACAGGATCCCAGCCTTGGCAACATGGCCCTAGCCCCTAGCTCCATAATGCCAGCTCCCCTGCGATGCAAGCCCCCAGGGTGTGGAGACCATCAGCACGTGGTCCATGATTCAGGTGTCTGGTGACGAAGTTGGTGCGCGCATTGAGCAAGCACCTAGGACCTCCAAGCCACAAGCAAGACCCTCTAGCACGGGGGTCTCGGTCC